TAGATACTGCCTTATTAGTATTCTTTATATAAAGAATACTAATTAGGAGTGTTTTATCAGGTTTAAAGCCACTGCACGTGACATATTATAGTTGACATGATTTGCCAATAAGCTTATGAATTATTAATGAGTGTTTGAACTTTTTTTTATACCGGCCCTGTATAATTATTTGGATTACTAAGATTATGCTGTGCCGCTTTAGTACAATATGTGATCTATTTGTAAATGAACAACATACATGCAATTACCACAATGAAGGAGGCCAATTTTGTAAATATAATTTATGAAGCTTGAAGTTACGGTTACCACTGAGTAATTTAAAAAAAATACAAAACAATGGACACTCCGAAAACAGTTAACATTTTTAATTCGACGTTTCGACTATCCTGCAGTCATCATCAGGAATTTTTTTATGAAGCTTAATTCCATTCCATTTTTGTGTTATCTGCATCTTCAAAAATTCCTACATTTGTCCTACCTTTTCTGTACATTTTCCTACTTTATTCCTACTTTACCTAAAATTCTAGTTCTATTTCTGTCCTGTTTTTTTACATAAGGATGCCATGCGGAAAAGCCTACTTATAAATTATACTAGCTTGTATTAGCTTGCAGTGAAAAGCGGCTTTATATTAGGTGTGCAGCGTCTTGTGCGCCCGGGTTAATGTGCGTGTTTATTCACGATATATATAACTTTATGGCAGGAGACATGCAGATGCGCCATCTCTTCCACGATGCATTGGTGGAAGCTTCTTCCATCTGTCTTCACCGAGTACCAGGTATTCTGCTATTATTACGGGCTTCACAGCGTAATGAGATAATAGTGATAATCGTGCCGGATCTGTGGGCATGGAATTTCCTCCCATAACGACAATCATATCTCCCATAATTACTGCTGCACATCTTGATCTAACAATATAAACATAATGGAATAAGAATCAGTCCAAAATTTAGGCAAATACAGAATCACCTAGGATGGCAAATGGGTATCTTAAAAATTTTAACTTAAGCAGTTTTGTATAAATTACCATTACTTCTCCGAAAATGTAATTATTCCTGCGGGTTAATCCTTATAATAACTTCCTGATTCTTTCAAAATAACGAGGTTGCCTTTGTACCCGAAAACTACAATTTCGGCAACAGAAAAGAGCAATGCATGGTTCTTGAGTTTTTAAACATTTCGTTGTTGGATAAAAATTACGAGTAAGGTATTGACAATTCTGTTGTTGGCAATATCCAGACTTTAACTGTTCGTGTCTGTTCCTCCACAAATCTTCTTGTTGTCATAAGCGAATGGAAATGCGTCAGTATGTTCGAAAAACCAAGTGTCTTTATACGGGGAATTCCCCTTTCTTGCAAAATTTTACTAAAAACCAAGTGTCTTCCAAAATTTTACTAAAAAATTCCAAAATTTTACTAAAAAATTTCATTACTAAATTTTTCCAAAATCCACGAAATTTTACCAATTGTAAAATATTTTACCAAGTCTGGTCACACTTACCCTGGGTTCAATCAATCAATCAATCAATCAATCAATCAATCAATCAATCAATCAATCAATCAATCAATCAAAGCATTTATTTTCACACGATAGAAATTACAGCAAATGTTCAGATGTTGTTTGGTGTCAGGCGAGTAGCGAGTTTTAGCTTGGCCAGTACAGCGAAACTGGAACCCCCTGATCCAGGGTAAGTTCACATTGGAATTCGTCCGATTAGTTACGAACTTGAAAGGCGAAATCCTGAAAAAGTTTGAGCACGGTTTCGAATTTGTCCGCTCCCGTGTGTGCAGCGCCTCGCTCGTTAAAATTCAGGCCAATTCAGACTAATTTTAGCATAAGTAACTAAGTAAGCTAGGTATTCAGTAAGGTGACAAGTTATATATTTAGTACTACATTTATCGTCAGTAAATGAAGATGATGTCAAATAAAAAATGTCTTACCTCTTTTCCAACATACTCGGCAACCTCGAACATTGTTGATTAGTAATGTTGTACATCAAAACATCGTTACACATGCCATATTGGTCCTTTTTACCGCCCAGTATAATGATATTGTCATTATGCACGACCACAGTCATATTAGACAATTCGTAGGGTAAAGGGGCTAGCTTCTTCATGACGTTTGTTATTGGGTTATATAGTATAACATCTTCTTTTACTGTTGTGGTTTCACGTCTGTAGTAACCGCCTAAGAGGACCACTGCGTTTGCGTTGACACGGGCAACTCCATAAGAGGATATTTCTCTTCCATCGTTATAAGAAAAAAGAACTGTGGTTTTAAATGGAGGTTTAAGAGATGTTGCTGATACAGATTGACCGAAAGTTAATATTTTGTCGCCACAAAGAACCCCTCTACCACATTCTGTGCCAGGTAATTGTACGGGTAAGGTACTGGCACATCTGTTGTTGGCAATATCCAGACATTCCACTTTCTTCGTGTCTGTTCCACCACAAATCATGATCTTGTTATTATAAAGAAAAGAAAATGCGTCCGTATGCTTGAAAAACAAAGTGTCCTCATACAAAGTCCATTTTTGAGTGGACCAGTTGAAAACTTCGTATGACTTCCTGTCTCCTCCCACTACAACAATCTTTCTGTCGACTGTAGCTTGGTTTGGAATTGGACGGACTCTTCGGAAGTCATGATCTATGGACGCTGATGCTGCTTTACTACGGTTTCTTTGTCGCCCCTGCGTCGCACTGGACTGGACAGCTGGATCTGGAACAGTTAGAAAGAAACGACATCCTATTCTAAGTTATATATTAGAGGGACATATACGTTATAGAGATATTGGATTGTGTAATATTAAATCTGTTCTAAACGTGCACATGGAAATCTGTATGTTGGAAATGTATTACTCTCTGTAGAAAACATCAGCAGAGTTAAGAAATTTGGTGTTGTCGTTAAAAAAGTGGGCCTGGTTTGGACGTGGCTCAAATTTACCTCTCCAAAATCTTCACCTTGCGATTTAATCCATCAGAAATTTTCATCAAGCAGTAACTATCCGTTAAGCCGTTCCCATTTGGGGGAATCTGTTGCGAATTATCTGGCGCTATATTGTTTTTATTTGGGGTATCAATTTTCTAATTAAATCACGAAATAGTGCCTTGTGCGCTTATTTGTCGTCTTAATTCGGTTGCATTTAGTTGTACATGTAATTATTATTAATTACTTTTTTGTTTACTTTTTACCTTGTTTTATTTCCATTGCATCAGGGTCAACTCTCGATTCACTTGTTTGCTGACTTGAGTTACTGCTTTGTTGTCTTTGACTTTGCGTTGCATTGGGTTGTCTTAATTCGCTTGCTTGGTGTCTTGAATTATCACCTTCTTGTGTTTGCTTTTTGTCGGACTGTCGTGATTCTCTACTTGGCAACCGTTGGATTTCTTCGCCTTGTCGTAGCTGTTCCTGTTGTATTTCTCGCAAAATCTTCTGAACTGCGGCCAAACCCTGTCTGTTCTTATCTATTTCCTTTAACAAGACACATCCATGTTTTCCATATTCTCGTTGCCTCATCGTTTTGTGACAATCTTCACAAGTTATCGATCGAAGTTCACAGCTTTTTTTATGGCTGACGAGATCTTGCCTGTTGACAGTTTTTCCACATCCTTCGTGGCAACATTGGACAGGAGCGAAGCTGCACTCCTCGTGATGCGATAACAGAGTTTCATATTTTACTGCGCTCGAACATCCACGACTGGCGTACATGCATTTCAGTGATTGAAACTGCTCGAGTATATTCGCCACGGTTCTCGAGATAGGACGAAGTGTTTCGGGAGTAAGTTCGTCTTGGCAAACAGGACAGGTTTGAGATCGCGTTAAATGCTTGGTTATACACTTCTTACAAAAGTAGTGTTCGTTCCTGACACATTGAACGGGGTCTTGTAGCACTTCCAAACATATATTGCAAGTCAAGTGGTGAGACCCTGCTGTATGAGTATTAGTTTTAGTGGAGCAAGTTGCCATTTCGCCTTCCTTGCCAGCAAACTTCTTCACACTAGCCAAACAAATGCATATTGCTGTCGTTATGCTGATACCTGCATGTGGTCTATTTTCTCATGCGAAATTTATCGGAAAACACGGGTGGCTACAAATGTGGTTAGCGCGCTAGCTGTCTCTTACCTCTGAATAATAATAATAATTATTATTATTATTATTATTACTTGTAATCACTTTACTCGATCTGAAGAATGCATTCGGTGAACTACATCACAACCTTATTTACAAAGTTCTTCAATATCATCATATACCCGATCCTATAAATGAACTAATCCGGAGTCTTTATACTAACTTCCAAACATCTATCATAACTGAAAAATTCAGTACCCCTTTCATTACCGTCGGCCGTGGCGTTTTACAAGGTGACTGCCTTAGTCCACTCCTTTTCAATATGTCCTTTAATACTTTCGTACAACACATTAAATCTGAATCATTCCTGCAGCTTGGTTTTTGGAAATCTAATAAAACTGGTATTCCGTGTAATCCAATTCATTGGTTCCAGTTTGCAGACGACGCCGCTGTCATTAGTAGCCAAGAAAAAGAAAATCAAATCCTACTCAATCGCTTCTCGGTATGGTGTCAATGGGCCAATATGATTATACGTGTTGACAAGTGCTCTACGTTCGGTATTAAAAAACACTCATCTAAATCTGTTCAATATCAACCTAAATTGTTTGTTAACCACCTACTTGTACCCCGTACCGAAACTGGTGAATCTTTCCGCTACCTTGGTCGTTATTTTAATTTCAACATGTCAGATGAAAAACACCAATCGGATATATGTGACTTGTTTAATAATATCATATCTAAAATAGATGAATTACATTTGCACCCCCGAAATAAAATCCTGCTATACAGTCGCTACTTGCTCTCGAAAATCTCATGGGACTTCACAATAACTGATATATCTCAAACATGGGTTTGCGAGACTTTGGACGGTATTGCTACTAAATATATACGAAAATGGCTCGAATTGCCAATATCTGCAACTCTAAGCAATGTCTATCTCCCCTACAACAAATTTGGTTTAAATGTCATTCTACCTTCAACGAAGTTTATACAGTGCCAAACTGTCTCACGCTCAGCTTTAAAGTCATCGATAAATGAAAACATACGTGAATTATGGTCAATAACAAGCACCAATAGGAACATTCAGTACGACATTTACTCAAACACAAAAGATGTATTGAAGGCATTTAGACAAAAAAAAGCGAACAGCGACTACAAAATAACCTAATGTCACAAGGTTCTTTTTTCTCAAACATCGTGAAAAACTCCACGTTGGCATTCAATTCCCTATGGTCATCGGTTCATTCAAAACTTCCTAAGAACATATTTAACTTCAGTCTACGTTACATCAACAATTCTTTGCCTACTAGGAAAAACCTAGTTAAATGGGGTCTGTCATCATCTGCTGACTGTTCGTTCTGCTTCTGTCCTGAATCGCTTTTGCACGTAATCTCTGGATGTAAGACATATCTAAACGAAGGGAGATATACATGGCGACATGATTCAGTTTTGAATCTCATTGCGTCCAGCCTTCTCGACGTCGGAAGGTCCAAAATGTATGTAGATCTGCCTGGATTTATTAGCCCATCTGTCATCACTGGTGACGAGTTACGACCAGACCTTCTATTGACAATTGAAAATAAGATTTTGTACATTCTTGAATTAACTGTTGGATTCGAAACAAACCTGAAAACTAACTCAGATCGAAAACATGAAAAATATTTGACTCTAATTACCGATCAAGAAAATATATATGATGAAGTTAAGTTTGTTAATGTATCTATAAGCTCTTTAGGTGTATTTGGTGAATCGACGAATACTTTATTTGATATGCTCCATGATCTGAAGTACGACGAACAATGTATTAAATATGTAAAAAAGAAAATAATTGCTACTTGTATTCGCACGTCTTATTATATATTCTGTAGACGAAACAAAGACTGGAACAACCCAGAACTTTTAAACTTTTAACTAATTTTAAAAGATTTTCACCTGTATATATATTTTAGCTTTAAATTCAATTCAAGTGGACATCGATAAGCTACCTTTTATTAAGTGAGGTTTATCAATGTATATATAGTATATCGTAAATATCTAATAAAAAGTTTCCATTATTATTATTATTATTATTATTATTATTATTATTATTATTATTATTATTATTATTATTATAATATTATTATTATTATTATTATTATATTAGTAATGCCTGTCAAATCAATACAACTCAAAACCAAAACAAAACGTTCAATCATGACAATTACATTAGTAGAAATTTCTGGGGTTACGTTAAGAACGTCTTGAATAAGAATACTTGCCTACTTCCATGCTTTCCGATGTCAGAATGCCTAAACTATTTCAAGAAAACTCTACGTTCAATTAACCCAAACAAACTGTTTTGTATTCCAAGCTGGATTCCGAAGTTATCCGATTCTATCGTAAACTTTGACCTTCAGCCCCCAACATATCGCCAAGTTACAAACATTATTCGCAGAATGAAAGCTTCTGGATCGCCTTGTCCTTTAGATCAACTTTCAATCATTTGCTTCAAACGTTGTCCATTTTTGCGCACTTATCTAACCGAAGTGATACGTAGCGTCTGGTCTTCGAAATCTGTACCAGCTGAATGGAAAAAAGCGTGTT